GAAATTAAAACAGCAAATAATTTTCAACACGATCTTCTATATTTACAATATTAGTTCAAAATACAATTAAATGCACGATAAAACAGGTATAATACAAATCTCACTAATATTTTACATAGATAATAATTCATTCAAAGAAAATTCATCAATACATACATATTAAATTAATAGCGTACAAGTCTTTTATAATAACTGTCGTGAGACATACTAAATTAACTAAAATCGCAGGTTACTCACGTGAATAGGTATACTGAGAAAAGCTGTACTAGTTTCGAACCACAGAGGGGTTCTTCCTCATGATCAGTGAGCTGCACAACATCTCCGCGACCGTCCACGCTGCTCATGAGGAAGAACCGCAAAGTATATTCACGTGAGTAACCCGCGATTTTAGATAATTTAGCGTAAATATCGTTTTAAGAAAATTGTTACATAGGTACTTCAATATAATTATAATAATGTTTTAAATATTGAGATCTCTACGCGTTTTGCATTTAGACAACATAAAGGAAAGGCAATGTAATTATGTTGTCAGTCTACTATCATTGGAAATGCACGGAACAAGAGTGGCTATCAAAAATAAAATTTAGGACGTGGGTTTTTAAAGGAACTACAGTAATATATTGAACATGGTATTCTGTGTCTGCATAAGGCAGAATGTAGCAACATTTAATGATCTACATGTTCATTAGAGTGACTAATGGCAGTTTATGCCAACCATACCTAAGCCATGTCTTAACTAAAAGTTACTTTGCGTAACGTAGCACCTAAATCCCTTACTTGTACTCTTAGGTGTCACTTATAGGTTGATGTTTGCACGGTTGGCGCAGTGGTTGGTGGCCGACATATGTGCAACCGTACCGACCAAAAAGTGATAATGGAATTTTCTGAATAAAATTACTATCACTTAAGACACTTACGCCTTAGGAAGTTCGGAGGTGTTTCGCCCCAGCGCGTTGGAAAGCACGTAAAGCCGTTGGTCTGATATCTGAATCTCTGATCTCTTGTACATCGAGTTCAGAGTACCAAGCACGAATAACTATCGCATTCGTAACGTAACAGTATCGAGCGCGTTCGGCGCTCTGATTGGCCGGCTCAAGTGAACGAACCAATCAAAACGCTTAACTCGCTCGATACTGTTACGATACGAATGCGATAGTTGTTCGTGCTTGGCCCTCTGAGAGTGAGGCAAAAGTGAGTGCACTTCACTTGTGTTTGCGTACACACTTGTGCACTATAATACCTACGCGTAAAGGGATAGTCTATTTCGACTGGCCACCATGATTGAAATCGATCGGGACATTTATAGGTTCGTAAGAACGAAAAATGTCTTCGAATAGCTTCCTTAACCCTTTGAGTACCGTCATAATAGACACAATTAAAGAACAATAGGTTGCGATCACAGGTGTCCTCGCGGTGTTTGACAGTGGGTTGTTGCAAACGGGCTTAAGGCTTCGAAAACTGAATAATATAATTAAACTGAATCATATAATTATGTTTCACATTTTACCTAACAACTTGCAAACTAGAGTTTAATTCAAGTAATATTCATAATCACGCCTTTAAAGAAAGTTTTTTTATTAAAATAATATTACCATTATTTCCTTTTTGCAATTTTTGAAACTAGTTATCGAGTCATTAGCTATAATAGTATAATCAATACAAATTTCCCTAAACACCTCATTTCAACGGTCCTCGTCTAGTAATTTAAAGATTGACGTGTAAAACTGTAATCTATTTGCAATAATAAATATCATTTCATTTCATTTCACCGCTTGAACATGTAGATCGTCAAACGCAGCCAAAATTAAAAAAAGCCATACAATACAATCGTTCATTCTATAGTCTATTCGCGTTAAGAATGCCTAGACTGATTTTAAACCTTTAAGAGTATTTTAATAACTTCATCAAACTTAATCCTTTAAAATATAATTTGTCTGAAATTCACACCACTTGAATACACCTTTATCTTACAGTTGCATTGTTGACTCACTGCATTCTTAACGCGAACACACTTAAGTGCCATTTACACAATACAATTTGTGCTGCGATTATCCCAAGAACATTTTATAGAAGAAAAAATACATATTAACGATATTAATATCGAATCGACGGAATAATCGTACTCACTACTTTATCATATTATAATAATGCATTGCAATTAAATATACATCAACTTTAAGTGACTAAACTTCTAGTAACATTAAGTATTAACGTGCAAATTATATTTATATATATATATATACAAAAATCTTAAAAACTAGAATATTTGTTGTCTTAGACAAGTTGACTATCTCAACTATATGGTTTCTCATTGAGACCTACTTATGCCCGAATATTGAAAGACTACTCAATTTTAGTTGTAATTAAATATCGTGCTATCTCTGTCATCTTTACTAATATTATAAATTGGAAAGTGAGTTTGTTTGTTAGTTCCGCTTTCACGCCGTAACTACTAAACCGATTGCTTTGAATTTTTGCAGACGTAAAGTTAGAAGTTTGGATTAAATAACTCGGGAACTCGGTACTCGGGAATATCAATTTTTCCGGGATTTTATCCGGGATTTTATCCCGGAAAAATTGATATTCCCGAGGGAAAACAAAAGTATTGGCATAGATGGCGCTGTGTGTATTAGTATATGTCACATAGACTACTTTTTATCCTTTTGTGACGCGAGCGAAGCCGCGGGTAAAAGCTAGTTATAGAATAATTTGTAGCGACGGAACTATACTTAAGCGCGACTGTATATTGAGTAGCGTTTGAGTATTTCGACATAAGTCTATTTGTTTTCATAATAACTATCGTGAGACTTAGTAAATTAACTAAAAATCGCGGGTTACTCACGTGAATATACTGAGAAAAGCTCTACTAGTTTCGAAACACGAGAGGGATCTTCCTCATGAGTAGCGTGCGCGGTCGCGGCGGTCACAGTAGGCTGCGCGACATCGCCGCAACCGCGCCACTAGTACAGCTTTTCTCAGTATATTCACGTGAGTAACCCGCGATTTTTAGTTAAATTAGTCAATTTGTAGAATGTCTAAGTACTAAAGATAGATTTTGTATTGAGTTTATTTCAAATTTCTAGTTAGCAAATCTAAATATAATATTAGGTTATTTAGAAAGGCCGATAGAAAAACGAAATAAATGTAAGTGTGTGTGGGCCCTTTAAATGATGACGCACACACAGATTTGCGATGCCTCTGATCAGCAGTGTTACTATACCGCTCGGAGCCCGTGGCAAATTCACTGGATAAATCCCTGTACCCATATAAAAAAGTATAGTTTACATGAGAATCTTTGAATTGGGGCCACTCCTGGCCACTTCGGGGCTAACTTGTAATTACGCCACTGCCATATTATTGCAGATGTACTTCATTTCTATGACATTACATTACGATAGTCAACTTGGCTAAGGACGATGACCTATAGCAACCATATTGTGTAGAAATAATTAATTATTTAATGGAAAAATTGGGAGTATTACCTCCCCACAGACACTTTCTGAGTAATCGCGTGGTCGGAGCATGGAACAAGCTGCCAGAATATGTAATCGCTGCACAGAATGTTAACCAGTTCAAAAACAGGCTTGACAGATACACAACATTGAATTAACCACTGATAGAAAAATACGATACAGGCATTTATCAGTTGTTTCAACTGCCTGTCTGAATTAAATAAATAATAATAATAATAATAATAAATAATAAATAATAATAATAATAAAACTTATTAATTTATGTAAATAAATTGTAATTGCACATAGCCTTAGAGTTTTCAAACTAGGCACATTTTGTATAAAATAAATTTAGATATATTTTTTTATTGCAAGCCAAGATATAATGCTATTATTTGGTAAAAAATTTAAATGTCATAAATAATAATGTTTACTTTAGAGAGAATTGAATTTGAAATTATAAGATAATATTTTTGTCAAATAAAGTAATATTAAATTAACACTAAAATACATAATTAAAAATAAAATACACATTACGTTATGTTCTAAAACTTAACACCTAAAATGATTGACCAAGTCAATAATAGTGGAGATTTTGTAACATAAGTAATCTAAAAATTATTCATTTAAATATAATAAAATTATGCTACAGTTTTATATGCTAAATAAATTAACAATTTATATTTAAGTGGTAAACAATTTGATGGCAATATAATATGGTATAGCACCACACAACCAAATGTGATCAAATAATAAAAATAAATACATAAAAATATTCCATTGTCTCGATATTGTAATAAAAATAAGAATTATAACATCCCGAATAAGATTTCGATTACAATAACTTAAATAATGCATAACAAATATAATTACTTAATATTTTAATTGTTTTTCTTTTATAATGTAAATTAATTTAATACAACAACGAATTTTGTGCCGAAAAAACATTTTTATTATTCTTCTTAAGCCATGACAGATAAAGGCTAATAAAAACTTGTATTATGTTCTGCCAATAATTTTTTTTAACCTGTGGAACTGTACTTTGTCTAATATCATACAGGTTATATCTGCCTCAGTCGAAATTTCAGTAATTCTCCGATTGGTTGACATCACCAATCAATTTTAGACAAATTTTAATAATCCATTCATCATCATAAAAAGTGCTACATCAGTCAAATCGTACTAACTTCTAAATCTACGCGAAACTTCTGCGTTCAAGCTCTAAAATAGTAAAAATTAACAGTTGAGTAATTCCCAACCTTATTGCCTTTGAATATAAGCTTCAAGTTTGATTTTATATAATTTCACATTTCTTTTATATTACACATATTTTTAATGCTATTTTAATTTCTATACTCAAAGGAATAAGTTTGAAAATTGATCACTCGTTTTTAAACAGTGATTGAAAAAAGAAACATATTTTGACGTCACTTCTTAAAAAAGTGCAAGAATAAGACTGTATCTATTTCTGTTTAAGTTTTCATCAGTCTAACTACCACTAGATTAACCTAGTCCAAATTGATTTCCGACTTTATATCCAAACACAAAGGTTCAAAATCTTATAAAGCAATTTGATAGAGAACTGACTATTTCATATGTCAGTTAGCGAATAGAAACTCATTTGGCAGTAGTTCAACAGACCCTAAAATTTTTTAAATATTTTTAAACTTTTTTTTTAATTCCTAGCTACGTCCCCACACATACATGTGCACTCTTTAGCTATAACCTTTTCCAATCATTCATGCTAACGAAATATACAACTTAAAACAATTACTGTCAATTATAAAAACTCCATTAAATATTGCAGACCAAAAACCACTTCATTTCCACGGTATTAAAGTTCAAAATCAACTAATAAAACAAACAACGATCCAAGATTACAGTACATACAACATTGTGCTCAAAACCAATGAAAATAGAGTCTATTATTCAAAAGCAAAAAAGATTTACCATTTTGCACAGTACAATGAATACATTGATGTAAAAGCATGTCTATGTAAATACAATTCAAGTTCGTTTGTCTGTAGATAGTTACACACTCAAAAATTGCGTAATTTTCGTTCACGGCTACATTTTAAGTTATGGAAAACCAGTTTATCAATGATCTCGCTTTCAATGAACTCTCCTCGTATACAACGGTCAGTTTATACTGGTTAACCATAGCTTGTCGTGTAGTCTGAATATTTCAAGGTTATGCCCTAAAATGATAGTTTTCTAGTACTTTTTAAGTGTTTGGTTGATGAACACGGACCTGATTTCCATTGGACAGAGGGTCAGCACTCCGCTGGGTAGCGGGTTCCGTACCGTGACGTACGTTAGAGAGCTGTCGTATACTTTGTCTGCGGGGCCGTCTATCAAGTCCGATATTGACACCTGCAATAGAAATAGTTCATAAGATTATTTACTAATAAAACATGGTCAGAATGAGAATAGTATCGATTAGTCAGCTACTACTATGCAGCTTGTTGGACTTCTAACATATCGTCACGCCTTTTATTCCCATAGGGATAGGCAGAGGCCACTGTACAATGTAACACCCACTTTTCACTATTTATGTTATGAGTCCCATGTAATAGGAGGTGAGTAATAGGAGTAATAGGAGGCTATTGCCATATACCGGGCACAATTCGAGACATCGTGGTAATACTTACAATTAAAAAAAACAGTATCTAGTACTTTACCTGATCCGGTTATCGAACCTGAAACCACTCGGCCAACGAGGCAGTTACTAAAGATTAAATGAATCCAATGTAGTATGGAACCCACCTGTCCGTCCCCGGCGCGGTAATGTTTGTGTATGTCGGGGCTGCCGTAGCACGTGTCCAGTAGCACGCGCTGCAACGTCATGCCCATGCCGTGGAGCACGCTGCCATCTTTGTTCTAACGCCAAACACAATTATCGTTAATAAACTATAACGATCATCATAAAGAACAAAATAAACATTCCCGTCCAAAATAACACGAATTTATGAGTATTTATATGTATAGGGATTTATTTATCTAAGTCTACACATCATCATCATCATCAACAGCCTATAAGTGCCCACAGCTGAGTAAAGCCTCTTCTCACACGGACAAAGTTTGAGCATTGATCACCACACGTGTTCAATGCGGGTTGGCGATTACAAACTTATAATTAGAAACTATAAGCTCGGGTTTCCTCACGATCTTTCCTTCACCGTTTGACAGTGGTGTCTAGATAATCTTAGGAAGTACATATAACTCGGAAAACATTGGTAGGTTTCGAACCCGCACCCCCATGAGAAGCGGGCGTCTTAAACCTCCGGCCATCACAACAGCCAAAGGATAATCAACCACATATCTTTAAAAATAAGACTCACCTTAGCAGTGACATGTGAGTGGTAGGAGGCGAGTACAATGTCTGCATCATTGACAGTGACGCGAGAGTACGCGATGCGAGGTCCATCTTTCTTGGCCGTGTAGTGCATGGCGATGATTGGCTGAAGCAAGAACTGCTGCGACACGTGCGCGCCCAGTGTAAGCTGACCTGACGGTAGGTCCGTTGTTTGCTCCTGTGTGTATTAGAATACATGGTGATTGGTGATTGAAGTTGGTAATAATGAGTATTGAGTATATTTATATTTTGGTCGGGCAAAACGATTGTGCCTCATGTATGACAATAGCGAGATAGTGTCCAAGGCCAAGACCAGCCCATTACTAGCTAAGGAGGAGGCGGAGCGCTTGAGGGAACGAACCTCCTCACGACCCGGCCGTCACGAGACACTCCGGGCGTCGGGGATCTCGAGACGATATCTGGCCACCGTAAACGCGGGCCTGCGGCGGCGAGCACGGGTGACTCGCCGCGACCAGAACCAGGCCCGAGCTACGGCGCCGAGCGTTCCGCGCGCGCCTCACCACGGATGGGGCCCAACAGGGCTGATGCTGATACGGAGCCGCGGAAGACTTAACAGGTTGCCGGGGCTCCGACTCGAAGGATAGGAGTAGGAACGGGGTGGTTTTTAGTCAGTAAGAGTCTTACACTACCTCTTGCCTCACCCGGGCGGGAGTAGTCATTAGATGATTTTCAAAACAATACCACCATAGATGGTTGCACCGTTGTCCACTGCATCAAAATTTGGTTTAATCTTACATTATTGGTGGCTCAACGCCAACGTAAACATATGTGCGATCTACGATACAGTACCATGCGAAAATCAGTTTCTAATATTTAGAAATAAATTCACGGGTACATATTTACCTTTATAACTACTAACAACAAATGATTTTAAACTGTACTGTGAATAATTGATAACACTTGTATACTTACACTGCAATACTTCTTGGCGTCTTCGACAATAATCTTGAACGTATGCCTCGTCCTGACATTGTCGAGCACGCCCTGTACCAGTCCTCGGTTGTCGTCCCGACTCAGTCTTCTGTCTTGCATTATCTGTAAAGAAGGGTACAATGACATACAAAATTAACTTTATTCGTGAACATAAAACTGGTCAAAACTAGACTAGAGTAACTAGGAGAGGTTTTCATTAAAACGTTTTTCATTTTTTTATGGCATAAGTCAGTATACGAGCCGACGAATCACCTGATGGTAAGCAATCGGCGTCGCCCATGGACACCAGAGGCGTTACAAGTGCGTTACCGGCCTTTTGAGGATTAGTAGTTTGGGGATCGTTGGGGATTCAGGGATTGGGGAGATTGGGGAACTGGAGGGTAATTGGGCCTGCGGTAACCTCATTTACACGACCAAACACGCTCGTTTACCGGCTTATGCCATAAAAAAAATATTTCAGTAGTTACATACCTCAATCTGCCCCGGTTGAAGCGCGGCCATACCAAGCGGTGTAGACGTGAGTACAGTGAGCCTGTTCTTGCCGTCCTCTATGTACGTGGCGGCCGACAGAGGGTAGAAGTTCGCCTGGAGGGGCAGCTTCTCGAAGTACCGACGTTTTATCATCTACAATAGGATATATTAAATGTTAAATTTCATCATAATAATTGAGTATCTCACAATGAATAATCGAATTCCAAGAGTTATCAGACGGCTTAGTACGAGTTTCTTTTAAGTTTAAAGAGATTGAAACGAGTTCAGCGCTCTGATTGGCCAGCTTCAATGAATCAACCAATCAGAGCGCCGAACGCGGTCTCGTTTCGATTCATCATCATCAACAGCCTATAAATGCCCACTGCTGAGCCTCTCATTCGGAGAAGGTTTGAGCATTAATCAACACGCTTACTCAATACTGGTTGGCGATTACAGACTTATAATAAGAAATTATAAGCCCAGGTTTCCTCAAGATGTTTTCCTTCACCGTTTTTCAGTGGTGTCTTGATAATCTTAGAATTCGTTTCGATTACTTTTACGAAATTGATTCTAAGGCCTCAGTTATTTCTCTGTTACTTATATTTTATAATTTTGGGAGCAATCATCAACAGTTACATGGAGCAATATTTTTTTTAAATTTCATGAAGAAGACGTTTCAATAATTAATAAATATTCAACATCTCACCTGCATCCCATTAAGATCAGTATAGAAGACGTCTCCGTTCTTGACGGCGGTCCGCAGCCGGAGTGCGATCTCGAGGTCATCGACCTGCGGGTCTATCAGGAACGTGTTGCAGATCTCTACCTCGCTGTGAGGCAAGGACGGGTTGTTGTATACTGATACCTATTGATAAATGAAGAAAGATTAAGACTCGTTGGCCGAGTGGCCACAAGTGCGATTGCAGGGCAAGGGGTCTCGGGTTCGATTCCCGGGTCGGGCAAAGTACTATTAAAAAATTCTCAGTAGTAGCACGGAGTCTGGAATTGTCCCGATATATGGCAATAGGCTCTCCCCCTATTACATGGGACTCATAACATAAATAGTGAAAAGTGGGTGTTACATTGTACAGTGGCATAATGTGCACGTCTGCCTACCCCTTCGGGGAAAAAAGGCGTGATGTTATGTTATGAAGAAAGATTAATATTATAAAGGGTTTCCTATATTATTCTATCCGATTCCATATCGGTGTCAGACATCCATAAGATATCGGGGCAAATATAATGTACAATGTATCTGTTTTCACATTAAAGTCAAAATCATTTTTTACAGTTAGACCTGTGCCTCTAGAGAATAGAAATCAAAATGTATGGGGATAACGCTGACAAGGGTCAAAATTTACGTCAATTCCATATAATTTGGTAATCTATTCTACATGTAGACAAGCGCTAAATGGCAATTGGCTACAGCTGCTGGTTAGCTTACTCTTAAATTCAATTCCAGCAATCGACATTGATATTGTGAAATTCCGTACACTTTATTTGCAACACTAGCGACTATTGCATACGTATTGCGTAGATGTTTAATTAATTAAATGGTATTGAGTTTGGCTTTATATTCTTTACTCTGAAAGCTACTTTAACAGCTACGATAGGGGTTGTATAGTTTTGACATTGAATAATTATTGAGACTTTATTGAATTGAAATTGCATTGACATTGAGATTGGTTTCAAGAGTAAGCACCCTGATCCGATGAAGAATGTCGGACGCCTATATACACTATACTATGTGTACGTATTTACAACATTGAATTACAACTGTAATCTTAGATAATGGTATACACAATAACATCCAAAATTAAACCTTATGCACCAACAAACAAAGTTAATTTTCCAATATACTCATGGCTAGAATAATATATGTAGCCGGTGCAGTCACAACACAAAATTAAACCCTACACAACTAGTAATAATGTTCAATACTTACTGCTAGGACAATATCAGCAGCTTTAGGCGAGTTGAGTGCAGCGTACATGGTTGCCTTGTAGATACCTTCAGTGACCACTATCTCAGGGAAGGCGGACGCCTTGTAGTCAGTGGCGGGCCCGGTGGGTATGAACAGGTACGCGCCACTGTTGTTGTCTTTACCGCGTTGACTGTCGTATCTGAAGTTATATGTAATTGGTTTAGTATTATCATCATCAACAGCCTATAAATGCCCACTGCTGAGCAAAGCCTCTTCTCAAAAGGAGAAGGTTTGAACATTAATCACCACGCTTGCTCAATGCGGGTTAGCGATTAAAAACTTATAATAAGCCCAGGTTTCATCACGATGTTTTCCTTCACCGTTTGTCTCTAAATAATTTTAGAAAGTACATATAACTCGGAAATAGTCACACAGTCGTGTTGAGTAGTAAAGTAGTACTATCAAATCCAAGCATTCAATTTATTAATTTAAAAACAATTTTAAACATCGAGTACGATTCTTTGGTCAGACTTAGGTCACTCACATCACTATCAGATTACCTAGCTTAGAGCGTAATAATATAAAAGAAAACTTAAGTCTATATAACACTTATTAAAAGTAAAAGAAACGCTTCTGCGTGTAGGACCAAACCGGCAGTCATTGATCAAAACCAATCCAGATATTTTATATTTTACTTACTGTGAAAAATCCATATGAACAGGCATGGTAGCACCCTGAGGTGAGACAATAGCCTTTATTAGTCCGTCCATAGTGGCGACGACTCGAGTACTGTTCCCCGCCTGCACCGTGATGTCTTCCATCAGTCGGGCGGCCGGCTGTTCTATAGGGAACATCTTGGGAAGGTCCACCGTCCAGTAGTCCGCGTTGTATACACGCACGTGGGAGTATGACGTGTATCTGAAGTTAAATAATAATAAAAACTCATTTACAGCTTGCTCGTGTAACCTAGTTCGATGCTCGACTGGTTTCGAAAGATGAGTATTTATTTTGATATCGAATTGAAGTAAAGAACTTGTTGGAGAAAGTTACAAGTCAGTATCAATTTAGATATTTTGTACTCCTTACGATAATTGACAGTATTATATTACAAATCCAATTATAAATTGTACATTTTAATGTAATTATGACACAAGTAAAGGCTATGTTCATTATCATGACCCTTCGGAGTTTTGGTAAGGCAATTCTAGTCGTTATGACAACTACAAAAGGATCAAAATCTTATTGATAGTATATGATACTATACTTATGGATATAATACTTACTTGTTAAGTCGAGTGCTGTCTCTAAGTGATACAGTGTACACGGTGAGTGCGAGCGGGTCCAGAGTGACCGGGAAGGAGAGTTGGTACTTGTTGGCGGCAAACGCTAGTCTCTTATCCCCAGCCACTACTGGGGATATCTGAGCCATCATTGGGTTGCCTTCAGGGTCGAACACCTACAAATTAAATATGAAAGACATTTGTATTGTTTGTAGGTTATTGGAAGGCTTAGTACGAGTGTGTTTTACGGTTTACGAGATCGAAATGTTATCGTGCTCGGCGCGGGCGCTTCAATTAGTTGGTTCATTGGAGCCAGCGCTTCAATTGGGTAATGTCCAGGGTATCAAAATTAAAAATCTAATTAGTCCGTCGGTTACATATTAAAAAAATTTTAGACACGTATTTTTTTATTTTCTCATATTATGTGGCATTACTTAGATAAAATGGTGCTAAGTTTAGGAGTGGGACGTCGTTACGTCATAACGTGCTACAAAATGTGACACGCTGTGATGTCACACGATATTTCAAATTAATATATCGTCGAAAGTATTTAATTTTGTGAAAAAAAAAAATAATGTACCAGACGGACATTAAAATTAAATGTAGGAAACTACCCTATTGTTTGGTTCATTGGGGACGGCCAATCAGAGAGCGTGAATCACGTTAAACGTAAAAGAAACTCTTATTATGCTCTCTGGTGATTCTTTTTCTAGTTTCACCAAACAACCAATGCAAAAAAAAACAAGTCGTTAGAGTCGTTGCAAGCGTGAGTGTCAAACAAGGGATCTCATCGGCTTCGATTGCTAGCTTGAGCAAAGTATTATTAGATTTTTTTTCAGTTTTTTCGGACACCCCAGAATTGTATCCTATATATTATAGTCCAGGGTCACTCCCTACATGAGTCTTATAACTACACTGGTGCAAAGTCGATATACATTGTACTGGGGCATTAAGTGCACCTTTTACTACCCCTTTTTTTAAGGGGGGAAAATCATCGAATGACTGCTCCCGCCTGGGTGAGGCGGAAGGGAGTGTCAGACTCTTACTGACTAAAAACCACCCCGTTCCTTCTCCTGCACGTCGAGCCGGAGCCCCGGTTACCCGTTAGGTTCTCCGCGACTCCGAATCGGCATCGACCCTATTGGGCCCCATCTGTGGTGGTCTGATGGCTCTTTGAGGCGCGCGCGGAACGCGACGCGCCGTACGCTAGGGTTTTACTAACCCTTGGGGCTTAAAAGACGTGAAGTTATGTTAAGTTATAGAAGAATCTTACCTCAACATGCGGTGAAGACACAAGAACAGTAAAGATCTCGTGTCTCTTGAATGCGAGAGCATTGTATAGTACAATTCTTCTGGAAGGAGATACCACATCCAAGGCTATAGTGATACGCGACGGTATCTCATCATGTACCCGCCAGATGTCGTCCACGTCGAAGTATATGTCGTCTTGTGCTTGGTCCACTATTAGCGGCTGGTTTAAGAGGTAGTAGGCAGCTTGTTGTATCGCTGACTGCGAGTATTTTATTGCTGATAACATTCTGTAAATAAATTGTATTGTTTGTTAATTTTATAATTTTATCTACAATCTCAATAAGCTTTGCCGTTGAATTAGGCTCCTAGAGATAGAATTTCACAATCTACCCATAAAAAATGGGTCAAAATTAACCTCTTTAAATTTACCAGCCATTAAGTTAAAGTTCCAGTAAAAGATTTACAATTTACAACTTTATTCCAAAACGTATAAGGTTTAAAATCAAGAAATTCAGACTTAGCGACAGAACTTCATCGTTACTAATGTCGGGACTTCGGTCTATTATTTAGCTTGACCTCCTTCTTCCCTCGTCCATTATATACGCCCGAATACTGAAAGGCTACTCAAATTTAGTTCTACTTATATATCGTGCCATCTCTGTCATTTTACAAAGAATTTGTAGTGACAGAACTATACTTAAGCGCAACTTCAAATTTAGTGGCGTTTCGAGTATTGGGATAATAGGGGCATATTATTATACACTAGCTTTTACTCGCGGCTACGCTCGCGTCACAAAAGGATAAAAAGTAGCCTATGTGACATATATCAATACACACAGCGCCATCTATACCAATACTTTTGTTTTTCCTCGGGAATATCAAATTTTTCCGGGATAAAAAGTACCCTATTATTTAATCCAGACTTCTAACTTTACCTCTGCAAAATTTCAAAGCAATCGGTCTAGTAGTTACGGCGTGAAAGCGGAACAAACAAACAAACTCACTTTCCGATTTATAATATAAGTAAGGAAGTAAGGATACTCACTTCTTAGCATAGTCTTCCCGTACTTCGTCTCTGGAGGTGCCCGTGACGCCATCATGGTGTTGGAACAGTGACAGAGCGCGACGTGCCTGCTCCACTCGGTCGCGGAGTTGTAGAGACATCATCTGTGACACCGCGCCTGATGACGTGGCTTGTGATGATATTATTTCAGCTGCCCTGTTAAGAGATTGGATTTTATTTTAATGTGGATAAAGTTGATTTTGCACTAAGAAACTATGATATAGATGTAGATTTTCTTTGGCCTTATATGTTGTTAAAAATGTCCTACAATTTTATTTGACGTACAATTTTATTCTCTTGAGTTCTGTATACGTCTATTCTAGCATCACATATGATCACCAAAAATGTTACATTTATATATTCAATCCTTTATGTATGTACAAGTACATAATTTGTTTAATTATGGCACATACGGCGAACTTAATGCCATATAACATTCTCTACCAGTCCAACTTAGGGTTTAAGTAAAAAATCTGCGAAAAATAATTTACGGAAAAAATAGCAAAAAATATTTAGAAATTGATTGACAATATGGACTGATTTAAATTAAATCAAATAAGTTAATAAAACGAGATAAAAATATAGTCATTATATCGTAACTTTCGTGAGACATACTAAATTAATTATTGCTTTCGGTTATAAAGTCAAACCATAGTAATTTTAACTAGCCCACAAAACTTTTTTCGTCCATTTATCGCATTCACACTCATCAACTTGACACCCAATAGCCCCCTTACCTGACATAAGCCAGCAAAACTCGATCCATATTCTTATAGAAAGGCCTAGACGTGTAGTATCCACTCCAGTAATGTTGGTTCCTATCCGCATACGTGAAGAAATCTCCCGAAAGTACAGGGAAATCGTTAGCCTTCACCTCGGCGTGGACCGCTTTGAAATAATCTTCGAGAGTTCCGAATTGCACCTGTTGATATGGTTAAGTATTATTAGTTTGCTAGTGGTATACGCCAAAAGCTACAGTAGCGCCATATAAAACATAGAAATGAGATTAAAGTCACATAAGTCACATTTAATCAAATGATAATAGAATTAGTTTTATGATATCCAGAACTCTTAGTAGTAGCACGGAGTCTGGAAATGTGCCCAGTATATAACAATAGACTCACCCCCTATTACATGCGACTCATAACATAAATAGTGAAAAGTAGGTGTGCTTCTGTGTGCACTTCTACCTACCCCTTCGGGGATAAAAGGCGTGATGTTATGTTATGTGTCTGTTATGATATCAAGAACTGAGTAAACCTTTTATATGAGTTTTGTTTTCATATAATATCATCTTTAGAGATGTATTGGATTGTTATTGTTCGAATGCGAACGATCCAAATTTCAAATCGGACTAAGTACTCGAATAACTGTCAAAAATATACTTCAAACTTAAATATAAACTACGCACGCCTCCTTTAATGTAGGAAAAATAATGGCGTGATTTCATGATGGTTAATAGACACCTATAGTACCTATAGGTACCTATCCAAATCAGAAAAAATTCTCACCTCAGCGTTCCAAGCATCGTTATTATTAATGAAATCGATGAGTATCTCATAGTTCTGATACTGGTTGTCCCATTCGTTGGCGCGGTCGTATCTGAAGTCGTCACCGAGCGGGAACATCAACACGTTCGTGCGGTACAACTGAGCTTTCTTACGCCATTGGTCGAGGATTGTGTGGGCCCTGAATATTTCTTCTTTTTATTTAAGGTAATAATTTTTTTTTTTGAACTTAGAAGGATAAAGCGTTCTTGTTTCAAAAAAAGGAGTTTCTCTATTTGACTTATCTCGCGATTGGCTTTATCGATTTATATGCCGTTTTCAAAAAAGTTCTTTGTTACACTTAGGAGAAGGTTTTAGTATATTAATTTATCACCTTAAAAAAGAGAGGTTAAAGTCGGTTCTCTAAACGTAGTTTATAAAAGATTATAATTATGGATTTCAATGTATGGTTATAGGATTTCATATTTTATTTGTGTTTCATGCGTACTTAAGGGGCTTAATACCGGAGGCCGTATTTCTACTATTTCATTCATTTATTTATTTAAACTTTAAGTATGTACACAGAAACAAGTAATGGTACATAAGGCGGACATTAATGCCATATGGCTTAGGCAATTAGCTTCTAGGCAATTGCCTCGTTGATCAAATGATTTCAACTGTGGCTACTAGACGAGAGGTTTTAGCTCTAACAAAGTATTATTAATATTTTTTGAATATTCCTACTTATAGCAAGGAATCCGAAATTATACCCAGTGTAGGCTAACCGCACATAACGCTAGTCTCGTAACATAAGTGGCGACAAGTGAGAGTTACATTATAATGTGTGTTCCCACTATTCCTACCGTGTATATAATTATTTACCTCTCTTCTACATTCTTCTCAGTGACCTTCCGCGGCGCCTTCCCCCAGGGACAAGTGATTCCATTGCCAGGAAGCCTCTTGAAGTCGAACTGACAGCATACCTGGAAATAATACATTATGTAAACGTTAATTCTACCTCTTTGGCCCGAGTGCAAGTGCGACTGCCCGGCAAGGGGTCTCGGGTTTGATTCCCGGGTCGGGCAAAGTATTACTGGTTTTATTTTTTAATGGAAATGTGCCCGGTTTATGGCAATAGGCTCACCCTCTATTACATGGGACTCATAACATAAATAGGGAAAAGTGGGTGTTACATTGTACAGTAGCATTAAGTGTCGTAATGTGCACCTCTGCCTACTCTTTCGGGGGTAAAAGGCGTGTTAATATGTTATGTTAGATTACTTATTGTAGATTGATATTGATCGATTACACAAGTCAACTATGATACGAAGCTCAAGCTATACATGTCACATACCGCCGGATCAGGTCCACACGAGTGAGGCACGTCGTAAGAATAGAAAGGCATCATGTGTGTGAACATATCCGTCTTGCCAATACCGTCTGAAATATAATAAACAAGAAATTATTTTAACTGCATAGATGCGTCTAATTCCACAGTAATCTGTGTTCTATTTGTCTCGTTTTTCTCTCTCTTTTGATAACGTTGCCCCACACTAGGATTTTCTCCTGTATCGTGCGTACAAACATACAAGTTCACATACACATGACACCCAGACCCGAAACAACAATTTGTAGATCACACAAAGAGTTGCTCCGCGTGCGAATCGAACCAGAGGCCTTAGTACAAATTGTCTTATGTATTAAGTAATCGTAACGAGTACGCGTTCGGCGCTCTATTTTTTTTTTTAAACTTTGCCCCACACTAACATTTTCTCCTGTGTCGTGAGTGCGTTTACAAACATACAAGTTCACATACACAATGACACCCAGACCCGGAACAACAATTTGTGGATCACACAAAGAGCTGCTACGTGCGGGAATCGAAAGTAGCCCAGCCACCGCGCCAACCGTGCAGTCAAATTGGTTGGTTTATTGGCGCCGGCCAATCAGAGTGCCGAACGCGTACTCGTTTCGAATACTTTAAACGTAAATGAAACTCATATTAAGGCTTCAGATACACGTTGCGCGGCAGGCGGTTTCACAAGCCGTGCCGTCCAGTCCAGTGTAGTCCGTTGGCCAATTGATTTAATTCCTGAATCCTTACTAATATTATAAATCTGAAAGTGAGTTTGTTTGTTTGTTTGTTTGTTCCACCTTCACGCCGTAACTACTGAACCGATTGCTTTGAATTTTTGCAGCTTTGAATTTTTGCAGACGTAAAGTTAGAAGTCCGGATTAAATAAAAAATTGATATTCCCGAGAAAAAACAAAAGTATTGGCATAGATGGCGCTGTGTGTACTGGTATATGTCACATAGGCTACTTTTTATTCTTTTGTGACGCGAGCGAAGCCGCGGGTAAAACCTAGTTGTACGATAAGTTAACAGCACTAACTCGGCCCCTGATCTATTACCGTTTGATCATGCATGAAAGAATATATAGTTCCTAAAATAGCTAATTTAAGATTGGTCGCCATTACATTAACATTGTAAAGCTAACTGACTGCCTCGTTGGCCGAGTGGTCGCAAGTGCGACTGCTAGGCAAGGGGTCTCGGGTTCGATTCCTAGGTCGGGCAAAGTATTACTGGGGTTTTTTAACAAAAATTTCAGTAGTAGCACGATGTCTGGAATTGTTTACATGGGACTCGTAACATAAATAGTGAAAAATGATAGTTACTCTGTACAGTGGCATTAAGTGCCGTAATCTCTGCCTACCCTTTCGGAGATAAAAGGCGTGATGTTATGTTATGGATAGCTAAAGCATCAGTAAATTAAACCAACTTACCCCAAAGTTGTCTCCAATGGAACTCCAACTGTTTATTAGACGCTAATTCCTTCTTCACTCTATAATGCACCCTCTGTATAACTGAGTTCTCCATTCCCGCTAGTTTCAGTAAATAGGGCTGCGAACTAGAGTATCCGAATGGGTCGATGGCCCATGCGTTCTTCGGTATATAGCCTAGATTGTCTATTAGCCATTGATGTCCCGTAGTCAGCTGTTTTATGATAGCGAGCCAGTGGGAGTTGGCCTCATCGTTCATAACCCATCCTCCTGTCACTATTTCTATCTTGCCGGATTTTAGAAGACTGAAATAAGAGTAATTTTTAACCAATTTCAAAATGGAGGTTCTCATTTTGATCTGTATGTATGTATGTATGTTTGTGCGCGATTATCTTGCGACCTAGCTTCACTGACGGATTGACTGAAAGACTATTATTTATTTTGTATTTGTTGACGTTTCAAAGGTACCAAATTATGTTTTATTTGAAATAAATGCTTTGACTTTGACTTTGATTGCCTAAACAATTTCTATACGGTTTTCAGAAAAGTGTAACAAAACACCGAGGAGAAGGTTTTAGTATGTTAATTAACCAAACTTCAAAAAAGAGGGTTGAAGTCGATTTAAACGTAGTTTACGAAATAATTATATTATTATATTTTATATATGACTGCCTCGTTGGCCGAGTGGTCGCAAGTGCGACTGCCGGGCAAGGGGTCTCGGGTTCGATTCCCGGGTCGGGCAAGGTACTACTGGGTTTTAAAAATTTTCAGTAGTTGCACGGAGTCTGGAATTGTGCCCGGTATATGGCAATAGGCTCACCCCCTATTACATGGGACTCATAACATAAATAGTGAAAAGTGGGTGTTACATTGTACAGTGGCATTTAGTGCTGTAATGTGCACCTCTGCCTACCCCTTCGGGGATAAAAGGCGTGATAAGTGATATCTAATAAGTGCACAAATGAATAGTATTGTTAAGTGAATGACTGACATACATAAATTGTATAGTAACTTTAACATTCAGTCGAGTTTCGTAAGAGGTGAAGCTATAACAATACTCGAGCGAAATGCTATTGCAAAACATCGAATTTCGTATTCAAAAATGTTATTTATTGTTTTGGCATGAGAACAGCCAAGATTTGTCGAGACGTTCTAAGCATAAGCAGGACTGAAATAAGTGAGACCTATGACGGAATATTGAAACGTTACTCAATTTTAAGTCGTGCTCAAATATCGTGCCATCTCCTTCATTTCACAAAGAATTAGTAGTGACAGAACTATACTTAAGCGCGACTTAAAATTGAGTAACGTTTCAGTATTCGGGCACTAGAGTTTTCAAGTCGAAAACACTATCAAATGCGTTATAGCAGTGGTTCGTAAAGTTGCCTGGACTACGACTTATTTAAATCTAGTTAGGTCCAAACGCAGGACTCGCCTTTAGGAAATTAAACCATTACCAATATGTAAAACAAAATTGGTTAGTGCGTCAGTCTACAGACAAGGCCTAGTAAAAATTAGTCTGCGACCCACCAATGGGTAGCGACCTATAGTTTGGGAAACCCTGCGTTATCCTTACTAATATTATAAATCGGAAAGTGAGTTTGTTTGTTTGTTCCGCTTTCACGCCGTAACTACTAAACCGATTGCTTTGAATTTTTGCAGACGTAAAGTTAGAAGTCCGGATTAAATAATAGCGGACTTTTTATCCCGGAAAAATTTGATATTCCCGAGGGAAAACAAAAGTATTGTTATAGATGGCGCTTTGTATATCGCTATATGTCACATAGGCTACTTTTTATCTTTTTGTGACGCGAGCGAAGCCGCGGGTAAAAGCTAGTAGTATTATATATGTCTGCAAGAAAATTTTGCTTTTGAACTAGTAAACTAATTTTATGACATTTTTATATGACTACTTTCTCAACCCAAATAAATCATATTACATTGTAAGGTGTATCTGGTTCTCAACAACTATCTTAACTCGTCGAGTACCGGTTTTATAGACACAATTAAAGAACAATAGGTCGCGGTCACCGGTGACCGCTTGGTATTTGACAGTTTAAGTGTCTCGTTGCTCTTTCAATTAAGATGATTCAGCAGGACGTCTCGGGTCGAATCATAGGTTACTTAAATTAACTTTGGAACTTATTTCTACACTATGGATATAGAAAATTGTGCCACAGGGATCTAGAACATGGAGGATGACGGGGTAATAAAATTAAAAATGTATTTAGTCCATCAGCTACGTAATAAAAAAATATTAAGACACGTACATAGTTTTTCTCAGTATTTTCACGTGAGTAACCCGTGATTTTAGTATGTCTCACGACAGTTATTATAAAAATAATTAATAATACTGAGTTTTTAAAAAAAAACTCAGTAGTAGCACAGAGTCTGGAATTGTGCCCGGTATATGGCAATAGGTTCACTCACTACATGGGACTCATTGGTATTACATGGGACTCATAACATAAATAGTGAAAAGTGGGTGTTACATTGTACAATGGCATAATCAGCACCTCTGCCTACCCCTTCGGGGATAAAAGGCGTGATGTTATGTTATTATAAAATAAAAAAATTATTATTAAAAAAACAAAATACCCGACTGCACACTAAAAAAAGAGTAAAACAAGCCCCACAATAATATTGATCAATCAAATGCTAAAAACTAATTATGTAATACCGTTTAAACAATACCTATATTAAAATACACTACAATATGTGTTCGTAATCGATAGTTAAATAAACAGAAACTTATTTTGAATACAAATTTACTGAATATAATTTATAAATGTTGATGGAAAGCATCGCAGGCGGGGACCAACAGAGGCTTATTTATAGTCATTTCGGTTGTGCACCATTTAGCAGAATTTTCGTTGGTGGCGGTCAAGGTGGTCCCCGCCTGCGATGCTTTCCATCAACATTTATAAATTATATTCAGTAAATTTGTATTCAAAATAAGTTTCTGTTTATTTAACTATCGATTACGAACACATATTGTAGTGTATTTTAATATAGGTATTGTTTAAACGGTATTACATAATTAGTTTTTAGCATTTGATTGATCAATATTATTGTGGGGCTTGTTTTACTCTTTTTTAGTGTGCAGTCGGGTATTTTGTTTTTTAATAATAATTTTTTTATTTATAACTTTTTAGCTGTTTTTATTTAACGAAAATGTTGTAGATGTAGAAGACTATCGTCAACGACGTGTGCCCTCATGCGTGTGCCCGCAATCGGGCTGTATACTCGAGCATATCCCCCTCCGCACCGCGCCGCGCGCCGCATGCCAGGCCACGCCCTATCTTTTTGCTTGCTAACGCATGAGTTGCTTTGCGTTGACGCAGAATTAACATGTTCCCGTGGGAATTTTGAGAAAAAACGTATCCTATATTAATTACTCCCGTGATTGAAATGAATCTAATGATACCGCATACATATTTTTTTAAAGGGAAATTTAGAAAAAATATTATTATGTCTTTATCCCGTGGGACTTTTAGGATAAAATGTATCCTATGACACTCCCGTAATCAAGACAAATCTAACGATACCTCATACATCAAAATCCATCAAGCCGTTTAGGCTACAGGTGGTCACAAAGGAAAAGACATACATACATACTTACATACACTCGAAAAACATTACCCTCCTTCTTTGGCAGTCGGGTAAAAAACATAGCAAAACCATGTGAATAACATCATATTCACTAATTAACTACGAATCATAAAAACTATATTAAAATCAATACTTACTTGGTGAATATAGCCTTGTCTTTATCAGTGGCATCACTGTTCCACCACAAAGATAAGAAGCTGATCTCAGCCCATATAAACTTTCTTCCGATACCTTCAGACAATTTCTCCACCATGTTGGTAAATATCGCGCGAGTTTGCGCCTTGTAGTAATTCTCAAACGTCTTTATCCAACCTGTAATGTTTTGTCAACATGTAAACAACGACGACTGCTTCGTTAGCCTAGTGGTCGCAAGTGCGACTGCCGGGCAAGGGGTCTCGGGTTCGATACCCGGATCAGGCAAAGTATTACTGGGTTTTTAAAATATTCTCAATATAGTAGCACGGAGTCGGGAAATTTGCTCGGTATATGGCATTAGGCTCACCCCCTATTACATGGGACTCATAACATAAATAGTGAAAAGTGGGTGTTACATTATTTTAGTGGCATAATGTGCACCTCTGCCTACCCCTTCGGGGATAAAAGGCGTGATGTTATGTTATGTAAACAACGACATTGTCTTTTAATTTTCCCGGAATATTTTGACCTGGACATACATATTTTTAACTCCTTAAAAAACTGAGAGTCGGAATAACATAAGCTGGTAAACGAATTGACGGATCTCCTTATGGTAGACAATCGGCTCCGCTCATAGACACCCGAAACATTAGAGACGTTACAAGTGCGTTGCCAGCCTTTGGGGATTAGAAAATTGAGGATTGTTGAGGATTCGGGGATCGGGAAGGGGAATAATTGAGTCTCCGTTATTACACGCAATTTTTTAAAGTACATAAATTAAATGCACCTTTATGAAATACTACTGTTATGGTGCAACTCCCAGATATAACTCAACCAACCATCTTTATACCATTTTAACCGACTCCCCAAAAAGGTGGAAAGGTTCGAGGTACGTTTCTTCAGATTTAATTATTTCAGAAAATGTTCCGAATGTTTGTAGACATCTGGTTGACAATGGTTTACCTAATAGCCGTATGAAAGCACCTTAACTCTTTGAGTACCGTCATTATAGACACAATTATAAAACAATAGGTTGCGGTAACCGGGGACCGCGCGGTGTTTTACTGTTTAATAAGTGAGTAAATTATAAGCCCAGTTACTGTTTAGCTATTTTATGGCGATGTTTGATTGATTTCCTTGTAATTGTAAACAAGATAAAAACCGAAAACAATCCTATTCCGCGTCCCGAATTAAAACAAGGATACAGATAAAGTATTGCAAAATATACTCTTAGTTACCTCACAAAAAGTTTAATTTCATTTGATAAGCAAAGCAAATGATAAGCATATCGCGAACACACAGTGTGTTCCAATGCACAAATATAATAGGTTAAATTAAGCGTGCGTATACAATACATGGCGATTGTCCTACTTATATTGCAACGTTACATAATAATATCGCCAATTATAATAATCGATCATATTTATTGCTAATGAAATATTCATAACTGACAAACATTTGAACCTTATGCCGTAGTTAATAAAGTTCAGTTTCCATTGCATTGAATGTGTTTATTTCTACATGCCCTAGGATAAGTTTTACCAAACTACCATTATTAGGTAATTAATTTGTGATCCCCAAAAATTATGAAAAAACCTTAGTGTGTTGACTGCCCGTTCCTATTAAATAAGAAGATAAATGACTATAAATGTTCACCCATTTTATCAACGACTTATCAGTCAAATTTTCCCGGAATGTAGAGTTGTTAACTAGCGTGGAAGAAAAAAAACAACAAGCATTTTAGCAAATCTACGTAGTTATAAGGAAATCGGAATTTAAAATAAAACCAACGAATTGCAGTTTTTATTATGTGAACGTAAGGGAAGCCAAAAAAATGTTGACTGTTTGGATGACGCGATTACTCTGCGACCGGTCGCACGGAACAAAATGCTTTGTGTAATCCACAATTTGTTCCGAATCTAGGTGTGATTTGTAGGTGAAGTAGTGTGTTTGTAAACGTACCCATGACACAAGAGAATATATTAGTGTGGAACAATGTTTCAAGAATTGATTGAACATCACTATTAATGCAGTAACTCTATACTTTTATAATAACTATTGTGAGACATACTAAATTAACTAAAAAACGCGGGTTACTCACGTGAATGTACTTAGAAAAGCTTTTTTTCTCTATCTATATAAATATTTGTATTTATTTGTTCTTTTCTTTTTTAATTTTGTATTTTTTTTTGTATCTGTGCGTGCCTACTGTCGAATAAATGTTTTTTCTTTCTTTCCCTACTAGTTTCGAACCACAGAGGGGTTCTTCCTCATGAGCAGCGCATAATATAGCATATAATAACATACCTTCTGCCAGAGGCTTAATCCGTATACCCGTGGGATAAAAAGTAACCTATGTGTTTTTTCAGACCATAATCAACCCTTGTTCCAAATTTCATCTCGATGGACATGATGGTTCTTGGACTTGTTATGGCTGCGTGTGTGACTGATTAATTAATTGATTTATGAATTAATGACTAATTGGATACTTGCCAACTAGTCAAATCCAAGACATTTTTCGAACTGTCAAAAACGACAGTTTTCTATGAATATTGTACGAGATTGTGTATTGTGACGTCACGTTTTTTAGCGTAAAACAGCATAATTATTTCTTAAAAATTTGCTGGAATAATAGTAAAATTAAGTTGTTAATAAAATGTGTGATTATTTTTTCATATGGGGTGAGCGACCCCCTATTACATGGAACTCGTTACATAAATAGTGAAAAGTGGGTGTTACATTGTACAGTGGCATAATGTGCACCTCTGCCTACCCCTTCGGGGATAAAAGGCGTGATGTTATGTATGTATGTATAACACCCATAATATAAAAACAAGAGTTAACATTTACATATAGACATTTGTGTAAATAGTATTCCAATGCTGAATGACTGGTGCCGCGTCGCAACTGACACACTTCTTCTATAACGGTTAAACTCGGCAATTTATTTACTGTCTTTATTTAGTACTTTCTAAAGTCTAGGCTAATCGATAGCTCTTTGTAGTTCGACGTGTTCTTATGTCGACCTTCAGTTTATTAAACTCTTCTTAGATTACAACATAACATTAGAATATTACTATTCTAAGTACTAATACAAAGGCGAGTCGCGGAGAACCTACAGGGTTACCGGGGCTCCGGCTCGACGTGCAGGAGAAGGAACGGGGTGGTTTTTAGTCAGTAAGAGTCTGAGACTCCCTTCGGCCTCACCCAGGCGGGAGGAGTCATTCGATGACGTTCCCCCTTAAAAAAAAATACAAAGGCGAAAGTGATTTGTTTGTGGGTACGTTACGCTTTCTGCATTGACTTACTAGACTACATAAATAACACAAACACTAGTTAAACGACTTCAAACGAATGATTAGGGAAGTAAATTTTTGGGTTTACATAAGTTATCTATTCGCTGTTTGGGTAATTAATAGATTTTCAACTCTTAACAAAGAAGTATTTCAAGGTTGAAAGTCGAAGAAATTCGCGGTCTATCATGACATGACTGTTTAAATTTTAAACCACCAGGTACTACAATCAAGCAAGTAATTTTGTATAAGTAACAAGGCTTTGCCAATGAAGTGGAATGCCACATTATTTGTGCTACGGTTAAGTTACCGCTTAGTAACAGTTGAACTAATTTAATATGTACGTATAAAGAAAGGTAATTGATTAACTCTGTTAATACGATATCGACAACCAATAATTTTTAATTAAATTCTATTGATGTATAACCATCCACATTTTCTGATTACATATTGTAACCATAAATTGTACTGCTTAGCAAGAAGTTCTGAAATCAACAATTCTTTGTGTCATACACAAATAGTTCTACCGGTTTCGGATACATAACAAAAAAAAAAATTTAAAAAATACATCTAGGTACATTATCAATTTTATAAAGTGTTTTCGATTAAAAGTTATCGCGCTCGGTATACGGTAAAAGGCTTCACTTAAACGGGAAGCGGAAAATGTATACCGAACATGCCGAATAAGAATACATTAGTTACTTCGGTACACAATATACCTAAAGGCCATAACTCACCGGAACGCCAGTGGCCAGCGACGTCGCCAACTACTTATAATTTGTATTGTGATGTACGTCACCAGTAACCGTAAAGTAAAGTAAAGTAAACCGTAAAGTCTCCAAGTGAGTTAGCCGAGATAACCAAACCGCGTCAACCAAATGTTCACATTTTTTTTGGTTCCTTTTCGTTCACACAATAAAAAAGTAAAGTTTTTACAGCAAATTACGATTTCCTTATAACTACGTAGATTTGCTAAAATACTTGTTGTTTTTTTGCTTCCACGCTAGTTAACAACTGTACATTCCGGGGATATTATGACTGATAAGTCGTTGATTAAAATGGGTAATAAATTTGCAGTCATAACTATGATTATTTATGAGTAACCTATGTTGAATTAATTACCCGAAACACTGACAAAAGTTACTAAGCTAGCTACACTTACAAAAAAAAATTATCTATTTCAAACGCAAAACAACAAAAATCAATGCAATATTTACAACTGGAAAATGTTCTAAAGGTTCATTGCATCTTTCATTATAATGATAGACTATTAGCTACTTCCGCGCGTTTGCAACCGCTCTGCTCGGCTCCTATCGGATCGTGGCGCGATATTTTATAGCCATACGTAGAGCGTATAGTTAGCGACGATACTAGTCATACGAACTAGTTAGCGACGGTCGCTGTCCACGTCCTAATAGGCTAGCAATTCGCCTGTGGGAGGTGTAGAAACTACAAGGTATTTGTAGTGTTTTTAATTGAACAACAAAAATGTATGTATCGGCAGCTAATTCTATTTAAGATTGATAAGGTTCGATAACTCGTTACAAGGACACGGTATGACTAATTATTCTAGTGGTTATATTCCCAAATATTTCAGAGTGGAAAAGTATACCATTATATTATAAACAGAAATGAAATGTATATCAACGGTACAATATTATGTTATCGTGTGTCAAAAAATAAATGAAATATTTTTGTTATAGGATTCAACTACTGTTTTCCGCAAGAAGGTACTAAGTAAAAATAAATTATAGACAATAGTAAAATATCCTGGAATTAGGCCCAAACCCAAGTCATTAATTCCGAACTAAAGTCTAGGCCGGGTTGGTGCGACTAGCGAGCGTTCAAACCGCATGGTTGTTTTCCCGCTCATCGCAGACGCAAGACGCATCGCGCAAGCGTGGCCTGCGACTGAGAAAGGAGTTGCCTCGTTTTTTTTTCTTTCGTATTTTGTTCAATTTCGGTTAGGCCACCAGTCCAATGCTAATGAACAATACCGAATATAGCAAATAATTAAATAGTTAGCTAGTTAATAAAACTCACCTGGATCATTGTGTGAGTGTGGAACTATAAATACTTTCAACTTATTCTTTTGGTTCCACTGGCTTTTTTCATAATCTATTTCCCAGCCTTGCTTCCACACGCCACCGTCCAAATCATCGAACAAGATTCGCTCATACATGGACAGCATCTATGAAATAAAATTATTACCTATAAAAATCTGTTCACTGTTTTGTATTTTAATGATATGACACGTAGTGCAGATTACCATGCGCGTACCTATAGCTTTGCATAATGTAGTACAACTCTTAACCCCTTTAGACACCAAGCCGGTGGTAAACGCGCCCTACTAAAAATGATCTGTGGATACGGCTAAGCACCCATCGTCAGAAGAAAGGAAAACAATAATGTAGAGTGTGTAAGGTAGGATGCGTTAGACAACCTGGCGCCAGCGTGTGTTGGGTAACCGGGCACTTGATTTTTTAAGGGTTAAGACGGTTAAGAAGGTTAAGACGTCCGCTTCTCACGCAAGAGGGTTCGGGTTTAAAACCTACCAACGGCAAGTTAGCGACGTTGCACTGTACCAATGCACATTGGTACTTGCCGTTGGTAGGTTTCAAACCCGAACCCTCTTGCGTGAGAAGCCGAGCCGAGATTTCCGAGTTATATGTATGTACATGTACTTTCTAAGATTATTTAGACACCACTGACAAATGGTGAAGAAAAACATCGTGAGGAAACCTGGACTTTAATTTCTAATTAAGTTTGAATCGCCAACCCGCAATGAGCAAGCGTGATGATTAATGCGCAAACCTTCTCCGTGTCAAAAGAGGCTTTGCTCAGCAATGGGCACTCGACCATTGCTCCTCTATAGGCTGTTGATGTAAGTTTTTGGTCATGCATAATTTGAGCTCTCACCGGCTTTGTCGCGTGCTCCTTCAAGGAGTATCAGAGAATTCGAAAAGCTCTCAGAGCCATGGACAGAAAGAGATTATTACTAAATAAAAAAATGTCTACATTTTTAATTATTTAATAAAGTGTAATACAAAAACATCCAGTGGTCTTTTCATATCATCAATGTGATAAGATAACTAGATTGTTTAAATCAATCGATTCGTAAACGATTCTGATTATCAGTGCAGACAGCCTATATGTAGCAGTTTGTATCGATATATTTATCTGTTAATCAGTTAGTAATATTAAATTTAGGTCTAACTTTACTACTTCAAATGAAATCAAAATACAAGTACATTTTATACTTTAGTTGGAGTTCATGACCTCTCTTTTCTATTGATAAAGAAAGAAAGAGACAGCAGTCTAACTAATTTGAAATTAACTAGTATTTAGGTTTAGTAGGTACTTAATCCGTGTACTCAGTCACATATCTTGTTAATCACCTTTTGTTTGGTAAACTTAATCCTAGCCAGTCTATTGTGACAATTATGTCACTATGTTTATTACTGCTAGTAAAAATATGAGCTAATCTGTGGTCAATTAAGTCATAATGCTGTAAAAAACCTAACCGGCCTGACAGTTCTACAAGCCATAAAGACCGCAGAGGACAGGGGCGTTTGGAGGAGGGTTTTGCATCAAGTGACGCGTGCACCAGACTAGACACGACCTTCAGTAATGAAGAAAACGACTAGGAAGAAGAAGTCATAATGCTAGTGCAAAAGAAACCTTTTACATATTAGCATAAAGACTTTATTAAACCAAGGATACGCTTGGAGACAAAATGTCCTGCGACATGTGTCGCCAGCGATATTGGGTGAAGTAGTGCGACGTTGTCAGACTTTGGTCGACATGCATTGCAACATCAACGTCGCAGTGGACATAAGTCACGCGTTGTCGTCTTATGTGTCTGTTGAAATCAGCCGGCATCGTTTGACATGTCGCCGATACATGTCGCGCGATATTAATTGTCCCCTAGTGTATTCTTGGCTTTACTCGATTTTACTAAGACTCTGTTTTGGCATTTCTGGCCAAGTTTCTATTACTAAAGATTTAATCTCTTATCTGCCGGTATATGCCACACAATTGAAAGCACATTGTGTCTTACATAGATGTGTATTCGCCGACTACAAGTTATTGGTTAATAAATATTAATGTTTCCATAATATTTTAGGGACAGAAAGTAAAGTTCCTTAAGATCGGAAAAGGAGGATCCTCCGACCAGGCGAGGTGATCGTTCCTAGCGGGCTTTCTGCCTAACAGTTGTTCGTTGGAATTTTCTATTGATGATGAGCGATGTATGATTTTGTGAAGTCATCCGTTAATATGTTTTCATCAATAGTCTATGTGTGTGAACTATCATGCTGTCATTTGACATGTGTCGCCACAACATGAAATTTGTGAAAACATGAGTCAAGTAGTTAACAGAATCATAATTGACTGTGGTAAAAAAAGTCTAAAGAAAAAAACCCAGTACCTGTATATCAACTTTAGCCGAACTTCTTTTCGTTGCAGGACATGCGGAGATGTTGAATGGAATCCTCATCTTTGGTGGCTCATCTCCAACTGCTTTATACTCTTTAATCTTCTTCATTTCTCTAGGAGGTTCCTTGATAACAACCTCCTTGGGTCTCTTTTGAGGTGGATGGTACTCTTGGGATTCCACAATCTGATCCACAGCAGATTTAATCTCACCAACAACTGCATGATGCTGGTATAGTTCATTCTCTATGTGCCGAAGCTTGTTTTCAAAGGAAGACCATTTTGTCTGAAAATTTTATTTGAATTAAAACCCAGTAATTTTAACATGTTAAACACCATGGCGGTCACCGTTGACCAATGTTAGTGGAGGATTTGCCTTCAACAGTTTTTTCTTGGCAGTCAAAGCCTTAACAGCCTTAAGCCCAATTTGGCTGTGTTTTTTTACTGCAAGGAACTTATTACATAATGTTATCTACATTGGCTAACAAGGTCTGGTTAATAGCTATTAACTCCAAATATAACACAAAGTCTGACAGGATTTGTGACTAGTGTTTGAACCTAATTTTTCTGGTACACAATTAAAGAATGGCTTTTTTAACAAAATCATCTTACTTCTTACTAATATTATAATATGATGCAAAAGTTTGTGTATATGTTTTTATTTTACTCAATAATGTCAAAATAGCTGAAAAGATTGGGATAATCTGATGGAATTGGGAGATTTAACTTATTTCGCTAGCACTAGTATGTAGTATCTTGGGATATATTAATTATATTATATTTATTATATATGGTAAAATACATTTATTATTTATGGTACTTACATCCAAATCTTGCATTGCTGGTTTAGTGCTTGGCAACTTAAAACTCAAGTCAGTCACCACATACAATATAAACACGAACGCAATAATGCATGTTGTCCAAAACACAGCTGACAATCTCCTAATCCTCATTCTGAAATCTATTAGAAAAAAGAAAAGATTCTTAACGCGTTCCAACATTTCGAAGACTTTGAAACAATGAATTAAATCGGTTTCATAATAAGCAGAACTGAAGTGTTTGTTATTGAAAAGCCGGTTTACGTGTAATAAAATACTACAAGCAAAACATAAAACCGAAACATGTACACTACGTACATACACATATACCGAAAAGGCGTCTACGTAATTTAATGGCTTCAAAAAACGCCGGTGAGCTATGCTTATATTTCCCTACGTCTCTAGTAAGTTCATTGTTTTAACTACCTTGATAACACGAGTTTAATTACGCTGGTATTAATTGAGTACTCGAACACATTTCTTTATTCGCTTATACAAATATCGCAGGATCTGCGGTCCTACTGCTATTTATTAATTTGTTATGGATTCAAATGACATTGACGTTTAATGCTGACGTTTCATTTCATCCATATCCGTAGAGATGTTCACTGTCTAGTCGTCTAGCTATTGAATACAGGAATCCTATAAGGAGTAATTAGGACTATTTTGTTTCAATCATCATCATAAAATCAGTCAGCTACAATCTACAATCCTTAATGCCACAAAAATGTCCATAGCTAAACATAGGCTTTCCCATTGTCTACTTTCTTAATAAGTCAATGACCAGCTGCATCCAGCTTTCTTCTCTTCATAGAGCTTTAGTCGAATAAATCGATGTAGTCCCACAAATAAAAACAAAATGACAATACCTGCTCAGCTCATAATGTCACCTCTGTCATCTGTGTGTGACTCGGAACAATAACTAAAGTGTGTGACATTCACTCGTACTGTCAATACACTGTCATCTCATATACGTCACAAATAATAAAAAAACAACAATAATAATGTAGGTTTTCATGAAATAAAAGGTTTATATATGCAATTGTCCAAGGTAATTTAAGTTTTCAAGAAAGTATTGATATTATATTAAATCACACAAATGACTTTTAGATTAATAGTAACACATACAAATTGTTTTACAGGTCAAAATGTTCAAGAAAATGTGTAGATTGTGTCTGTCAACAGAAAATATAATGTTTCCATTAGATGAGTCCTTCGTTTTCAACTATAACTTATTGACAAATCTTAAAGTAAGTTTAGTTCTAGTATTTAATTTATTTACAGGTTACAGAAAAGTAAATACAAACTTTACAATAAAACTTGTTGTGTTGATGTTTTTGCCCAAGAACTCCACAGAACAGTACTTACTGATTTTATACTTATCTCATTATTATTTTACTGTAGACTTCTAGACTTACATATGAAATACCAATTGTATTTTATAATTTTTTTCTTATATATTGTAAAAGAATTCTGAAATTGCACATTGTTTAATTTGCATTTTATTTTGAAATATTAATGTAGCTTTTTAGTAAAAGTGCTATTAATCTATCTACTGAACCAATGCTATTAGTGAATTATGACTTCTTTCATTTTCAGATTACCTTGTCAGATGGAAAACCACAATTTTCATGTATACCATGCCTTGATAATGTAAAATGTTTCATAGTATTTAGGGAAAAGTGTATTAAGACAGAAACTATATTAGAGGAAATGGTTAATGTAAGTAAAATATAATTTTTTCATTCATATATCCTCTCTCACTCACTTCCATAATAGACTTTATTTCCAAGGTTTAGAGATTATTTTGTATGAACAAGTTTGGTTACAGTATGCAAAAAAGTTGGCAAAATATATACAAATGCATTTTACATAGCAGACCAAAAGCTGCATGGAAGTGTATTATTCTGCATACTAATTTACAATAGGTACCTTTTACATACTTTTTTAACTGGTATCATATATCTTCATTAATCAGTTGTGACAGTAATTCTTAAAGAGTTTGTTTGTTTCTTTGAATGCCCTAACCCCAAAAAGCGGTCACCGGTGACCGCTCTCCACTAACTATATTATAGACCTTATTTTCAATGTTTAGAGACTACTTTTGTATGAACAAATTTAGGGGATGATTTTCAACAGGCTAATCTCAGGTATAGTGTCTTATTTCAAAAAATCTTTTTTATGTCAGATATTTATTATTCATTGAGGAAGGCTATAGACGAATCACGCTACCAACCACATAACCACGCAAATATAGCTAGTTTGTGATAAAAAATTGAATGGGAAACTCAGATAATATAGTATGAAACAATAGTATAGTATAGTAATATTAGTATTATAGTATATACAACACAATAGTATAGTATAGTATGAAACCATTGTTTAATTTATTTTGTTAAAGTTTATCAAAATTTGACACAGTATGTGTGTGCTATATTTTCTGTATCATTATCAGAAAAAATAAACTCTGAAACTGTTTCTCCTTTTTTCAGGAAGTCAAAAAAGAAGATGAAAAGGGTAAACAAGAAATTCTTACTAAAGAGAAACTGGAAATTGAAATTGAAGGAAGACTAGAAATGGATGACAAACCTCCAGTATATGAAGATGAAGATGTCGATGAAAATATGGTATATGTTATAAAAGAAGAAATAAAAGAAGAAAGTGACTACAAACTGGACGATTATGATGTTATATATTCTGACTCTGATACCTATGTGGACATAAACAATGTTCTTAACAAAAAAGAAAAAGTTATAAAAAAACATTTAAATAAAAAAGATAAAAGAAATAACAAACGAGTGTCAACTTTAAATAGTAAGTACACAAGTTCATATTCCTATGCAGACATTGTCCAGCAAGATTGTGCTTGTTGTATAGAACTTTAGTGCAACAATATTATGATTTGAGTAACAACTTTTATATAGGTAAATCTTGTGAGAAGGTCCAAAATTTTGTACTGGATTGTTTGACTGTCTAGTGTGAAGTTTAGAGGTGTTGAAGACAATGAAATCTTATGATGCCTTCAGACAAGTCAAACTAAATTATTTGTACAGTTTAAAAAATAATATGTTCTCGGCTTACTCATGTAACTGTTTGACGAGGAACTCGACTAGTTTCAAGCCATGCTAGAGGCTCATATTCACTAGCAACGCGACAGTAGCCGCGTCACGTGCCGCGGAATGCTGCCGAAAACATAATAATTAATTTAGTATGTTTCATGAATGTTCTAATACAAATATTATATTTACAAACATAAATATTTTAATTTACTAAAGGTAATTTTCATTTAGCATTTAAAATTTTGCTCGCAAGGTAATAAACATCTGGCTAAATCTTCCTAAAATAGCAATTTTACATTTCCAGAAGTGAATACAAAAAAGAAAAAACGAGTAACTGAAGTAGAGCCTGACCAGTGGTACTGTGGTAATTATAACCAGACTATCAAAAACAAAAAGAAATCTAATTTCTGTTTACCATAACCAATTTTTTATTTCTTATTTTTCAGGTATTTGCCCAAAAGTATTTGACAGTAAAACTGAAATGTATCAGCATATAGATAGTCATAAAACTGAAAGACAGTGTGGTCTTTGCAAAGTGCTTGTGAACAGCCTGTCTCAGCTCTATGCCCATAGACTAAAGCATGTTCCGTCCGTGCAGTATAAATGCCACATTTGCAATAAAACATACAAATCCGATGTGTATTTGGAATTCCACTACAGAAATGTTCACATTGAGGAAGATGTAAGTTTTATAACTTTGGCCTTATATCATAGAAAGTTTTTTTTTAAAAGACTGCCTCGTTGGCCGAGTGGTCGCAAGTGCGACTGCCGGGCAAGGGGTCTCGGGTTCGATTCCCGGGCCGGGCAAAGTATTGCTGGGTTTTTACAAAATTCTCAGTACTAGCACGGAGTCTGGAATTGTGCCCGGTATATGGCAATAGGCTCACCCCCTATTACATGGGACTCATAAGATAAATAGTGAAAAGTGGGTGTTACATTGTACAGTGTCATAATGTGCACCTCTGCCTACCCCTTTGGGGATAAAAGGCGTGATGTTATGTTACTTCAAAAAGAATAAACAGGAGGTTCTCAGTTTGGCCTGTATGTATGTATGTTTGTGCGCTGTTATCTCGCGACTGGTTGAACCGATTTTGATGCAGCTTTTAGAAAAGTGTTTGTTACACTTAGAAGAAAGTTTTAGAATATTAATTAACAGACTTCAAAACAAGGAGGTTATAAAAGAATTAATTTATTAATGTTCTATAGCAAACGAGTTTCCTATACAATCATGGAGGTTGACAACACATTATTGATACAACTGGTGTTTCAACTGTATTTGTAATCTTTTTCTATTAAGCTTAGCGGATGTAAGTGTAGTTGCTATTACATAAAAAGGCTTTAAACTATCTTATGTCAGTTTGTCAGTCATAAGGTAACACAACCCAAAGAGTTACTGCATTAGAAGTATCATACCTAACGTGTTGTACAAGTCGCGGAGAACCTAACGGGTTACCGGGGCTCCGGCTCGACGTGCAGTAGAAGGAACGGGGTGGTTTTTAGTCAGTAAGAGTCTGACACTCCCTCCCGCCTCACCCAGGTGGGAGCAGTCACTCGATGATTTTCCCCCCATAAAAAAAAAGTTGCACAACGAGTTGCCTAATCACTGCATCATTCATGGAGTCAATAAACTAATTATTTTACCGATTATTTTCAGGATAAACGACTTTCCTGTGGCATATGTCATTTATTTTTTGGATCACCAAAAAGACTTTGTTATCACATGACTGGGGTTCATCCTAAAATTGAGTCTAATTATATATGCGACGTATGTTCTAAGGGGTAAGTATTATTTTTGTTTGTTCTTAAAAATTCTTGGTCTTTGATTTAAGGGTTTTTTTTTATTGAGGCAAACGAGCAGACGGATCATTAGTAAGCAATCGCCTATGGACAGCAGCAATACCAAATAAGCTGCAAGTCACTTTAGGTTTGGAATTTGGAATACTCAGAATCGGACTAGGCTAGGGTAAAATATTACAAGGTTACAATTATTACAATGCTGAGAATTTTGAATATTTGACAATTCTTCCATACTAATAACTGTCAAATGTCAATTTTATTCTACAGTTAAGAATAAACTGATTAAAAAATTGACCCTTAAGGTTACACTAGTCGATATTTTTTCCATAGAAAGTTCGGGGTGGTATTACTCGACAGTGTGAATGTGTACCTACAAAATTAAACACGATATCGTTTTATCTTGTAATTACATTTGTCGGTACGGAAACAAAAAAAATAAAAAAAAACTACTAAAAAGTTATGAGCCAACAAAGTTTTGTTTTTCTTTACAATTTTAACGCAACTTTGGGTGTTAAAAAATACCACTAATCGTGTAAAATCTCCAAACCGAAGACCGTACCGACTCAGCACAATTACCATAGAGTTCTATAAAATTTATTTGAAATTGATCTAAGCAGTGGTTTTTTCAAAAAACGCTATTTTCTAAAGCACTAAATCGTACTTTTTTACGCACTCGTTTTGTGATGGATTATCGTGCATTTCACTGGATAAAACTCCCCCGGCAGTGGCGCGGGGCGGAGGGAAGACGCACACGCGTTTTTGCACAATTTTTTGCACAATTATTATTTGCACGACACGCGCTGTCGTGCAATTGTCGTGATTTAGTGAAGTTGTTTTGGTTGATTGCATGACACTTGGAATTTCCAAGTGTCATTGGAAAATACATAATAAACAATGGGTAAGTCGTCCCTACAATTTATTATACCTTATCTAATTAGATTTTATTAGATACAGTTATCGGTGCGGATCCCAGCAGCAACCCAGCCATCGTGAAGGACACACTGGGCGTCGGGGATCGCGGGACGATATCCGGCCACTGTAAGCGCGGGCCTGCGGACGGCGAACATGGGTGGCTCCCGTCCGACCAGAAACAAACCCGAGCGTCCGGCGCGTCGCGTTCCACGCGTGCCTCAAAGAGCCAACAGACCACCACAGATGGGGCCCAATAGGGCCGATGCCGATTCGGAGTCGCGGAGAACCTAACGGGTAACCGGGGCTCCGGCTCGACGTGCAGGAGAAGGAACGGGGTGGTTTTTAGTCAGTAAGAGTCTGACACTCCTCCCGCCTCACCTAGGCAGGAGCAATCAATCGATGATTTTCCCACATAAAAAAAAAATTCTACTTGTTTATAATATCAATTAGTATCTTTACTTCGGACTTCAAACCAATGACCAAACGAAAAAAAATTTCCAAAGATATAATTTCGAGTACTATACTGAATTGCGTGTTGTAACATTTTACTTGAACTCACAAAATTAATCATATTTCTGATAGAGTGAACCGATTTCGATGAAACAAAAACTAAGTTACACCTCGAGTTGCGTAGAATTTTATATATTAACAATGTCTGCATTGAATTCGTAGATTTTACGTGATGCGCGCACAAACAAACAGACAAACAGACAAAAATTTCAAAAATGATGGAAATGGGTTCTGTTGGTTATCTTTTAACACATGGCTATTTTTTTTGTCAATTTCTTCAATGTACAAAAATTACTTTTCTACAGATTTATTATATGTATAGATATAGATAAATATTACGATTACCAATAAAGATTTTTCAGGTTCATTGTTTTTTTTTGTCTATAAATAAAAGCATAATAAATAAGCAAGTAACTAAAAGGGTGAACCCTTAGCAATTATACCCAGCATTGCGGCGCTCTCCTGTGCTGCTAATACAGATACTATACCGGCATGATTGAGCGTTGACTCAGATTGCGCAGAAATCAAGTCTCTTTAGTAGTAGGTATTGTGAGAAGGATTGTTGCTACCTACAATTCTTCTCCCAAAAATCCTTTTACAGTGATTAGCTCGCCAATGTATACCTACCCACTTTGATGCCGAGCGCTCAGATTCGAGCCGGTATCTCTACTTATGTTTGTGTCAGGGAGGTACCTAGTGCGCAGCTTTATGTTACGTTCCGAGCTGCCAAAAAGTCTGTAGGTACCTAACACGAAGTTGGAGTTAGGGACCTACCTACACGATGTAGGTATGAAGTCCACAAGTTTTGTTACGGACGAAATGACGAAAATCTAATTTATGTGGTATTATCACTACTTCTAGTAATCTTAGGTAGTCACCGACGTACCTAACTAGGTAAGTATATATTTAATTTTATGAAAACTAATGACAGATCAATTGTCTCGAAATTCAGGAAATAATTCAGACCAGGAAGTACATACCTAAATAGGTAGGTAGTTCCTGAGATTATTATGTTCAACCAAACAAACTATAATTAGTTAAACATTATAACCTGATGAAAATATGACATTTGAACTGTATTATTTAGATAAAAGATGCATCTAGCTAGTTTGTAGTAGCTACATAAAGTTATTGGTACTTAGAAAAAAAAATATTATATAAAATTATATCCCTAGCCTTTCGTGGATTCTTCGGATCGGATGATAAGTTGATATCATAAAAAAATTGTCAGTAATTACAATGCCCTGTGACAATAATTATTAAATTCATGCGAGCATCATAAAATCGTAGCAGCGTGTACGACTTTACTACGAGTAAACACACACAGCACAGATATATGCACCGTTCAGTGACGTTTTGCTGTGTTTGTGTGCGTGCGAACAATACGTCGTGCAAATAGATAGCGTCTAACTGCTCATCACTGGTACTATTTCTGTCACACACGATGTTAGATGAGACAGAGCGCTTTTTGGCCACGCCCTTGATTGAGTTCGAGCCCGCGACTAGTTTAACCTTAAAGGCGTAATTTTGTGCAAACAATGATACTCCTAATTCAAGTCGACGCGATTCCTGGAGATTTCGTGAGCTAACTAAGCGTTCGCCATCAACAGCACACTGCGGGACTATGGTCTATCACTTAAATGTAAAGGAGATAATAGTCCAACAGTGAACTGAGAGCTTTGTCGAATTTGTTTTACTTTAACGAGATCGAAACTTACCGCATTTAGACCTCTGATTGGTTGGATCATTGGAGCAGGCCAATCAAAACGCCGAACTAGAAAACGTTCCGATTTCGTCAAACGTAAAACAAACCCGTCCTAAGCCGTCTGTCGCGAGCTGTTCAATAAAATATTTATTTTCTACTTTCAGCTTTCAAAATAAGACAGCATTAAAATCACATATAAGGTCCCATGGGTTGACTAAATGGTATACCTGCAATTTGTGCGATTTCTCCTGTAAACAGAGCAGTGGGATAGTTGTAAGTTAACAATCTTTACTATCACTATTCGACTAAATTACTAGCATTGTGCGAACAAGGCATTAAGTTGAGCCGATTAATTTTCTCTCGCTAGTCGATTAAATTACTAACGTAGTGCGAACTAGGCACACTAAACTAAACTACGGCATAACATAATTGGCTGCATTGTCAGAGTTGCTGCATTTTTAAATGTTTTACCATACTGCTTAAAACAGGGTTGAAAACTCAATAGCTAATAGTGTATTAATTCATCTAAATCCTTTTCAGGATCACAAGAAAAGGAAACATAATCCTCAAAAGGTTATCTGTAAGAATTGCAAGAAAATCTTCCATAATCAGAAGGAATACGACGAACATAAATGTAAACACATTATGGGGAGTTTGTGTCCCATATGTGGTATACAGATAAAATGTAGAGTGAGTACCTATTCATTTACTTCGTAGTAAATTAGAAGCCATACAAATATGCATGCGGCATAACGCAGTAAGGAAATACTATTCCTAGTTTTTATAATAACTATCGTAAGACATACTAAATTAAGTAAAAACGCGGGTTACTCACGTGAATATACTGAGAAAAGCTCTACTAGTTTCGAACCACAGAGGGGTTCTTCCTCATGAGTAGCGTGCGCGGTCACGGCGACGTCGCGCAACTCATGTAAGCTGTGGTTCGCGTATATTCACGTGAGTAACCCGCGTTTCTACTTAACTATTCCTAGTTATTTGAAACGAAAATAATCGTTTCGTACGTGGGAATTTTTATTAGTTATTCAAAGTTCATTAGCTCCATGTAAGTATTTGCTTGAAATTGTTAGAGCTATTTGAGATTTGTTGCATTTATACTGGTGCCAAGCCCCAAGGTATGCGAGCGGTTGAACCAACAGCTGTAGTGATCTGACGACCAATTTGCGAATTTTAGCCTCATTGTAAACTTCTCGGCTACCAGAACCTTACCGCACGGAGCTGCGGAGAACCTAACAGATTACCGGGGCTCCAGTTCTAAGTAGGACTTGGATCGGGGAACACACTCTTTCGCCTCACTTACGACTGGAGAAGGCATTGGATGATTTTCTCCCTCAAAAAAAAACTAAATTATTATGTTTTCGGCTTACTCACGTAATAATTTGACGAAGAACTCGACTAGTTTCAAGCCATGCTATAGAGGCTCATATTCATGAGCAGCATTTCACGACCCGCGACGCGGCGACTGTCTCGCTGCTGATCATGAATATGAGCCTCTAGCATGGCCGTAAGCCGAAAACATATAATTTATTTAGTATGTCTCACGAAAGTTACAATACAAAAAGAAACTTACTAAAGTCAAACTATAAATTGTTAAGAACGTCATAACTATCGAATTAATAATGAAAACGTTTGGTTTTAGTTGAACCGGCATCTATTGAGTCACTCGGATGAATTCAAGTACAAATGTCATAGGTGTCCGGCTAAATACAAGTCTCGAACCGCTCTCGTGGCGCATTTGGACAGGCACGACGGTAACCGCACCAAGCAATGCGAATACTGCCCCGCTAAGTTCTACTGCGCCGCCGTGTTACAGAAACACAGACGAATTCATACAGGTAATTTTTTATGGTACAAGCCGATAAACGTGCAGACGAATCACCTGATGGTAAGCACATGGCGCCGCCCATGGACACCTGAAACACCGGAGGCATTACGTTACCAGCCTTTTGGGGATTAAGAATTTTTGGGATTGGGGAGATTGGGGAGGGTGGCAATCGGGCCTTCGAGAATTCTGATACTCAATACTCCAATCTGATCTAGTTGTCCTATTGATTTTCGATCTTATTCTCAATCAATAGAGTTAAATTTCTAGCAAATCTGGAAGCCAGATTCTCCAGCTTCCAGATTGGCCAGATTCCAGGTCATCATGTACAATGATGATGATAAAAAAATAAATTGATTGTCATGCCTTTGGCCCATTGTAATAGGCAAAAATAAACGTTAGTGCTATTATTATTCTGTTGATATTAGCTTGCTTCCGGTTACTAATAAACGGAATCGAATTAAAAGATAGCCTTTACCTCTTTAGTAGTTATCTACTTACACCATACCTCTTTAGTTTTTGCAGTTTTACTCCTGGTATTAAAATCTTTATGTATGAATTTCTAATCAAATGCATTGAATTTAGCACCTTTGACATAATCACGAACAGATACACAGAACACTGGTCTTTAATACGTAACATAGAAGAAAAATGATTGCCTGGTTGTAACGGCATTTGCGCTACTAAATGCGCTAGATTAGATTCTGATTCATTGTCCAATAAAAATATTTGATAATGTCACGTCATTGGCCAGGTAAATTGTGACAACTAATCTGATTGGACTAATAGGACCTTTCGCCTCGCTAACGTCATCTTGCGAACGCAAATCGAAAAACCTTTATCCAGTCTAAATATTAAAGTAAATTATTTTTATTTCAGGTGAAAAGCCGTATGTGTGTGAAGAATGTAATAAAGCTTTTACAGGAAAACACAACCTCAAAGTGCACATGAAGGTACACGGAAAAAACTTAGTCGTTAAAAGAATTAACACTGAAAATGATGTTACCATATAAAAATATAATTATTAATATTTTCAGTTGAGGTTTAATAGAGTTTATATTTTCGTTGATCGAAAAGTACCTTTTTCTTATTTTTTCTATTGGAAATAAAATCGGGTATAACCTAGATGTCTTCAAGGCCCGAGTGAATAGGTTGCTTATGGGCAGACGTGCTCCATCGTAGGCCGCATCATCGCTTACCACCAGGCGAGATAGTAGTCAAATGTCGGCGCAACAAAAATAAAAAATAAATAAGTCGGTACCTCACTTGGTGGTAAGCGATTAAGCGATAGTATAATTCGGTATGTTAAGTTTTTTTCGTACTTTTTTCATTGTTTTGTATGTAAAGTTATTTCAAACAACGAAGTGGCGTAGGTTGATTATACTAAACATACCGAATTTCCTAAATTGTTAATTTAATTCATAAGTAATAAATAAAATATAATGTATGGAAATCTTTTTGATGTTATTTCTTACTAACAAGAACAACCTACCCTAGATTCCTATAGGTATTTGTAAGTATGAAAATAATGCAAGGCAGAAGAGAAAGTACAAAAAATGTTATAATGTTATGATACAGTATTTGCCTACAGCATAACAAAAAAGAAACAGAACTGTAGATAGAAATTGATTACCTTCAAAATCGTGTGTATGTGATATCGTTGGAATGATCATAAGGGCAAACTAGTAATACTTAGATCTCAGGTTCGATACCTGGGTTGCGTTATTGAAATTATCAATAACAGCACGCAGTCTGCATTAGCGTCGATGGATATACGAACGAAACGCATACGAATATTCAAATACATTAAAATTCGTGCTGGTTACTGTGCCAAGTATAACAGGCCAGATCCCGCATGCGGCGGCTTTTATAAAAAATGTAAGAATGTAATATAGAGGGTTTGTCGATATATTGCGGTGATTGCATATAGGTACTGGTGATCCGTTTGTTCTAAGACCCATCCTGATTCAAGAAAAAAGTTTTACGAAACATAATGCTAAATAAAATCACCTACTCAAAGGATATGTATTAGTAATTTGTTAATTCAAATGAAAACTTGGGTTACAGAAAACAAATGAAATGTTTTAATTAGCATTGGCATGATTTGACGAAGATTAAGAAAATAGGCTCACTACTTATTATATTTTATGGGACTTTATGGGATTATTAACATTATCAAAAATACCTAAACCTGTTATTTATGTTCTTTACTATCTCAAGTACTAGTACAATCAACAATGCTGATTTTTCGTTAAACAGTTAGACATTTCTACCAATCTTCTTGTGGTTACAGAAGTAAAAAATAAAAATGTGGAGTGCGTATCCGAACTAAGCCATGAATTTTGTTATCGATTTTTAGAGAAACGTCAAACTAATTTGTTTGTGTGTGAAAGATGGCGTCAAAGGAGTCTTTGGACGTAAGTATTAATTTATTTCATTGAACTAAGTTACTATTATGAGTTGTAAGCACGTCTACTAAATGGAAACTTTGTAGGGCATGTAATTTATGAGAATCCATACCAATATACTTGCTTTATAGTCATCAAATTAGTGAAGAAGGCCACGCCCCAGCCGTTAGTTTCGCTTTTGATTTGTATTTCTATGTTTTCATAGATATTTTGAATTAAAAGCAAGATATAATTAAAGAACCAGTTTAAAAAAACTCGTACTTTTAATAATTATGTGAAAAAATCCACTTACATATCACTTAATTCACTATTAACTATTAATTTTTAACCGTTTAAAGTGAAACAAATACCGGCATAACAATTAACCGGATATTTGTGACGTACATAGTAGTCATAATATTGTTTAAATAATTTGTAATTATTTGTTTATTAGATTTCAAATTTCCTATAAGACAATAGAGTGACCTAAATCTTATTAGAACATCGTCTTTCATATCCTCAGTACCTATAAATGGAATTTATTGTAGCAGGTAGAAGCAGTTGAAGTTGTAATGACTTTTTCATGAAATTATGAAATACATAACAGTAATAATAACTACAATAACGGCCAGTTTCACAATGTCTCATCAATTTCTGTTCGTCTAACTAAAGTAGATGGTATCGGACATGTTTCCATAAAATGAAATGTGTCATATAAAAATCTGTCTCAGTTAAGCTAACAGCAACTTGGTCAGACACTTTGAAACAACCTTATTGTACTTATTATAAGTATAAATTTTTATTTTCATGAAAAATAGTTTTTTTATATTTCTTTCGTGTTAAAAGACAATGGGTGCGTTTTAAAAGTTATACAATTAATGAGAAAGTATTTGTACTTCTGTACTAATTAAGCCTTTGACTGCCGACAGAAAACTGCTGAAGGCAAATTCTCCACTAACATAGGTCACCGGTGGCCTATGTGGCGGTTAATGTGTATGAATGAGGTACCTACTTAAAATGGTGCATTTAAAAACTATCCAAAGATGTTTATTGATTATAAAGATTGCATAGTTCACACTAATATTAAAATTCTTGGCATTAGACAACTTATTATTGCCTTTATCGCTGTAATTATGTTATTGCGATACTAACAGCTTAATAAAAAATGTAACAAATTGATATATCAGAAAAATAGTACACATGCAATTTGAGAAGGAATAAAATACAATTAAGGTATGGTATAACAACAAAATAATCAACCTGCCTCTAGAATATGAAGAAGCAAATTATTATTAAATATTTTTTTTATAGAAAATAAGCAATGAACAACCTTCATCATTTATCAAATGAATAAAGTTCATTATTTTAGGTAGTTAATCAAGTCCATTTTCACACAATAAATATTAGTAAAAATATATCAATATTTGGACAAAAAACGGTAAATGATTCTATTAACTCATCAAGTACCGGTTTTATAGACACAATTAAAGAACAATAGGTCGCGGTCACCGGTGACCGCTTGGTGTTTGACAGTTTAAGAATAAATAAACTTGTTGGGAAAACGATTAATAAGAAGAAAGAAGTTCTTCTTGCTTTCTTTATCCCAAGATACTGAATGTTGGCATGGAACATTATGTATGTCTAATTACATTGGATTTGCCTAAGTGCTGTTTTCCAAATACTTATGTTTTTTTTTTCTTTATTAAGATCCTCCTCATCCTGTCTGCAAAAACCAGAATCTAAATTTTCTGCCAGCTGTAGCAAATTCTTAACTTGCTTATTAACACATTTTGTTATAATAAGATTCCTGAAAAATTTTTGTGAGTCCCCACTCACTGCAATGTCACCCACATTGCACAGATGAGATTTTGATCTGTGTTTTTTTACTATTTGTCTAGTTATCTCACCATAAAAAACTACTTTGGGTTAATTTTAACTGGAGAGATTATTTCTTTTATGTCTTAAAGACAACAGACTTAAATAATCTTCCTTAATTATATTTATGAAATGATAATAGAGGATTTTCCTTCTTTGCCATTCTAACATTGATTTGATGAAACATCGCAAAACTGAGGGAGTGCAGCCTTGCGTGGTGTTTAACGCGGTTCGATAACGGCCGCCTCGCCAATTGAGCGCATCCGCATTTGTGTCAAAGGACACAGCACGCGTTCCAAGACGAGCTCATCTTCATCCAAGGTTACCAACACATCCGTAGGCGAAATACTCCACTGGATACCCACGTACGCTATCTTTAATAGTGCTGGAATAATCCAAACGAAATTTTTGCACTGCTTCGAACGTGTTAACGTATTTTGATCCCAATTTAATATAGATAATTGGTTTTAGATACAATGAAGTGTTTAACAACGTAATTAACTAAGATTGGCTTTTGAATTACTCTTGTGTGGGTGCCGTCTATGCAATCTATTGTCAGAGCAAGACATAGCTCTACCGTGACCGATAAATCATTCATTCAGCTCCTAGTACCCACTACGAGATTTGCAAATTGTAAAGTAAGGTTACTTCCTCATGTGAATGAATTGATGGACACTAACCCAGTAGGGTTTGCCGGATAACGTGAATAGGTGGCCTTCCACGCCCGTTCGACATTGTGCCATTTGCATTATGGCTTATAAATGAAACTGCTTCAATAGTCCATGCGTTTCATTTTTCAACATCATTAGCGGACGTACTCGCCTATTCAAAAGATATTTCTGCATATACTTGGTGTTTACATACATTGAGAATATATGTATGTGTTCAAGCTGGAGCTGGAGGCAACATCCACAAACTTTATGTAATCTATTGTACTCCATTCCTATTAGCGAGCTAAAACTTTCTTCTGATTCCGAAAACTTTTCTTGCCCCACATATAACACGAATCTTGACTCGTATCTTTTAGCGCCCGTAATAGGCAGTCGGCTGTGAAATTAGAAAACAGCCTTGCGAATATGGGGCACGTCAAAACGGAAACCCTTTTAGAGATAACTCGATTCAATTCAAGAGATCTCCTGGGTAAATTCATTACAAGTAAACCTATTCGGAGGCAGTGTGAATTGCACGTGATTGGAGAATTTCCATACAGCGTAGACCTGAATGAGCAGATCGTTACGCTTATTGGTACTCGAGGCCCCAAGTGTTTGATGGCGAATCAGTTCGCTGACTATTTACGACTGGCCATATATCACACTTGCAACGGTCTGAGAGATCGTCTACAACATGTTAACTGCTACAGAGTGAGGCTAAGGTCCTGTACGATACTGACGCAAGTAGCCGCACTTCCCGCAGGATGTCGGGAATGAGAGCGTGTCCTCATAACTCTTGCACTGTCGTGGGTGGCGATAGTCGCAGACGTTGTGTAACTCCTTGTTCTAATGAGGATATTATTCATGAGTATCTAAACATTAGCAGAGAAATGTCGCGCGCCTTTTGAAGCGTTTTAATTACACCGCTGACGGCGGCCACCTCGTTAGTGCTCGCTCGACGAAACAACAGACAGATTGTGCCATTAATTAAATCAAATCATTTGTTGGTGTTGAATACACTGTCATTCTATACATCATATACTAAAAGTACCATTTTGAGTTATGTCGTGTAGATCATTTAAAAAAGACTACCGTTAAGAA